TTGAGTCGTAGGCTCTGTCCACTGCACCGCCTGTGATTGGATGGTTTAAATGAAGTCGCATACATTGCTTATTATTATTTAAATGAAGGTCTCTTGTTTATGCTGAACTTGTTTCGCTGCGTACGTAGCCAACAGTTCTAATCGGATGTGCGGGTAGTGTGTTAGTGTGAAAGGTCTCTATTTGGACGTGTGTGTGTTTGCACTCCACATTCCTCCCAGCACCAAAAGAGCAATGGGGGTGGCTCTTTAAGCCAGCGGTGGAAATTCCACATTCCCATGGCGTGCGTCAGCCTCGGTATCCGTAGAGCGCAAACAGCTGTCGACTTCCGCAGAGCGGTACTCGTTTTATCGACCCCCAAAGGGGATGATTGTCTCACCTCACCCCCCCCCCGACCTCATCACTCTCACGCAACCACTCATCCCACCACTCCTCATTCCACAAAGACGCTCACCTCATCAGTCTCACGCAACCACTCATCCCACCACTCATTCCACAAAGACGCTCACCTCATGACTCTCACGCAACCACTCATCCCACCACTCCTCCCACAAAGACGCTCACCTCAGTCTCACGCAACCACTCATCCCACCACTCCTCCCACAAAGACGCTCACCTCATCACTCGCGCAACCACTCATCCCACCACTCCTCATTCCACAAAGATGCTCACCTCATCACACTCACGCAACCACTCATCCCACCACTCCTCCCACAAAGACGCTCACCTCATCACTCTCACGCAACCACTCATCCCACCACTCCTCCCACAAAGACGCTCACCTCATCACTCTCACTCTCACGCAACCACTCCCACCACTCCTCCCTCAAAGACGCTCACCTCATCAGTCTCACGCAACCACTCATCCCACCACTCCTCCCAAAGACGCTCACCTCACTCTCACGCAACCACTCATCCCACCACTCCTCCCACAAACACGCTCACCTCATCACTCTCACGCAACCACTCATCCCACCACTCCTAATTCCACAAAGACGCTCACCTCATCAGTCTCACGCAACCACTCATCCCACCGCTCCTCCCACAAAGACGCTCACCTCATCAGTCTCACGCAACCACTCATCCCACCACTCCTCCCACAAAGACGCTCACCTCATCACTCTCACGCAACCACTCATCCCACCACTCCTCATTCCACAAAGACGCTCACCTCATCAGTCTCACGCAACCACTCATCCCACCACTCCTCATTCCACAAAGACGCTCACCTCATCAGTCTCACGCAACCACTCATCCCACCACTCCTCCCAAAGACGCTCACCTCACTCTCACGCAACCACTCATCCCACCACTCCTCCCACAAACATGCTCACCTCATCACTCTCACGCAACCACTCATCCCACCACTCCTCATTCCACAAAGACGCTCACCTCATCACTCTCACGCAACCACTCATCCCACCACTCCTCATTCCACAAAGACGCTCACCTCATCAGTCTCACGCAACCACTCATCCCACCACTCCTCTCACAAAGACGCTCACCTCATCACTCTCACGCAACCACTCATCCCACCACTCCTCATTCCACAGACGCTCACTTCATCAGTCTCACTCAACCACTCATCACCACTCCTCCCACAAAGACGCTCACCTCATCAGTCTCACGCAACCACTCATCCCACCACTCCTCCCACAAAGACGCTCACCTCATCAATCTCACGCAACCACTCATCCCACCACTCCTCCCACAAAGACGCTCACCTCATCAGTCTCACGCAACCACTCATCCCACCACTCCTCCCACAAAGACGCTCACCTCATCAGTCTCACGCAACCACTCATCCCACCACTCCTCCCACAAAGACGCTCACCTCATCAGTCTCACGCAACCACTCATCCCACCACTCCTCCCACAAAGACGCTCACCTCAGTCTCACGCAACCACTCATCCCACCACTCCTCCCACAAAGACGCTCACCTCATCAGTCTCACGCAACCACTCATCCCACCACTCCTCATTCCACAAAGACGCTCACCTCATCACTCTCACGCAACCACTCATCCCACCACTCCTCCCACAGACGCTCACCTCATCACTCTCACGCAACCACTCATCCCACCACTCCCACAAAGACGCTCACCTCATCAGTCTCCGCAACCACTCATCCCACCACTCCTCCCACAGACGCTCACCTCACTCTCACGCAACCACTCATCCCACCACTCCTCCCACAAAGACGCTCACCTCATCACTCTCACGCAACCACTCATCCCACCACTCCTCCCACAAAGATGCTCACCTCATCAGTCTCACGCAACCACTCATCCCCACTCCTCCCACAAAGACGCTCACCTCATCACTCTCACGCAACCACTCATCCCACCACTCCTCATGCCACAAAGACGCTCACCTCATCACTCTCGCGCAACCACTCATCCCACCACTCCTCATTCCACAAAAACACTCATACCTGTCAACCCCTTATCAGCCCCTCCCTACGTTATTACGGACCAATTTAGACTATTGGTCACCCCGTCAAAACGCACCCTGCGAGGCGCTGTACATAGTAACGGGTGTTTGATCGCGTGAACGTAACCCAAACCGTGTTTAGTGTGTGAATAAAAGAAAAAATCGGGAAACATGCTTAAAGAAATAATTTCATTTGTACTCATTCAACAAAAATGTTTCGTTACATCAACATTGTGCTGTTTTTGTCTGTACCGTGTGACCCGATGCGGATACCCCGATACACGGCTGGAAAACAACGGAACCCGTGGAAAGACAAGATGACCGATTCACTTCCGAAAGGAGGAATTGCAGCAATGCACCACTCGGCTACCCCCTGACGCAATCACCTGCGGCGCTCATCAACCACCTCGGTGTTGAATTTCTTTCGCACCGCGCTAAATCGGAGATAAAGTTGGTCTTGGTGGCTGAAACGACGGGTCGAGAGACGGCCCGACGCTTTTGAAACGGACCGGTCCAGGCTAAAAGTGTCGAGACCCTTACTCCATCGGAAGACGTGAAGACTGCCCCCACTTGGACTGGACTTCTCCTGAAGCCGATGAGCATGGTTGGCTACGAGCGGTGCGAAAGTAGTTTAATACACACACAACCCTGTCCCAAGCGTCAGGGGGCCACTCAAGGCAAGGTACATCATCAACATCATCGCCGCCATCATCAACATCATCATTATCACCATCAACATTATCGCCACCATCAACAACATCATCAACAACATCATCACCGCCACCATCATCGCCACCATCATCACCATCATCGCCACCATCAACACCATCATCGCCACCATCAACACCATCATCGCCACCATCAACATCGCCGCCAACATCATCGCTGCCATCATCATCGCCGCCATCAACACCATCGCCACCATCACCATCATCAACACCATCATCACCGCCACCATCAACACCATCAACATCATCGCCACCATCAACACCATCATCGCCACCATCACCATCATCAACACCATCATCACCGCCACCATCACCATCATCAACACCATCATCACCGCCACCATCAACATCATCATCGCCACCATCAACATCATCATCGCCACCATCAACATCATCATCAACATCATCATCACACATCATCACACGCCACCATCACCATCACCGCCACCATCACCGCCACCATCACCGCCACCATCACCACCATCAACATCATCACCGCCATCAAGTATGTATGTTAAACGTATTTCTCACTACATAGCCAACCGTTTTAATCAGAGGTGCGGGGGGGGGGTGGACAAAAAACTAAACACACAAAGCAGTTCTAAAGAGTTTTCAATCGAGATTATTTCAAAATGCATAGCTCCAGTGGCTTCCTGATATCGGAAGGAAGAGCGTTCCAGACGGCTGCAGAAGCAGTCAGTGGCGGCTCCTGCAAAATCTCTCAGGGGGGGCAAATGTCTGGATGATTGATAAGGATAAGGTCCACCCATGCAATGGATACATTAACAGCTTAAGCATGTAAAGGCAACTTCACTTCTTTAATATTAATGAAAAATAAAGTGACTCTTACAATACATCTCCTTGTTTGTTTCTATACTCACTATTAATAGAATCCACTCAAGTTTATTTTATTAAGATTCCACAAGGTGGCGACAAATTATATTGTTGGATGAAACGTGCTTACGTATGATGACGTAAGCACGTTAGGGCGAGCCCTCCCGGAAGCCATAGAGAATGCATTGCAGCGCCCCCGGTCGAAAAAAAACATCTTTGAATGTAAGTCTATGGGGCCACTCGGGGCGATTCTCAGCCGGAGTGAAATCGCCCAAAAAGAGGCGGTACTCCACAGAACGTGACATGACGCTGATTGGACTATATCCAGAGGCACAGTGACGGCTAGCGTGACTCTGTGGTTGAATGACATTGGTGGTGCGTCGCCCAATCGCCCTAATGAAGAAACCGCCCCTGGAAGCAGCGCATTTGAAAGCGCCACGCGACCATGCGGTGACCACCGCCTTTGTTCAATGACCAGCAGCCAAAGCCGCTGCCGCTGCTGCTGAGAGGTTGATGGTTTATCCTCCTTGACGACATCAGCGAGGCGCCGTGGTTCATTTGTGGCCAGCACTTGGTGTGTAACGAGTGCGACCTGAAATTTAGATTTAAAGCTTTCGTGACTGCAGGGATTCATCTTCTTGGTTCTTTCGGTAAAGTCAGGTGACTTTAAAGTCACGTGACTTTACCGAAAGAACCAAGAAGATGAGTGCGACCTCGTAAAGTGTTTTATTAAAGCCACCGTACGGACAAGCACTGTCGTGGAACTGTTTCCAAGACGTTTCACCGCTTCAACCGGCACATTTCTTTTTTGACGGCTTCTACAGGCCGAGGCCTTGGCAAGGAGCCTGCCATCGACCTCGGGGACGCTCACCCGCACGTGGCCCGTAGCTCCATGGCGCGCCGTCGTTTCCCCCCGGCCTCTCAGTGGTGGGCGGCGGCAATGCCACCACACTTCCCTCGCCTCCCCCCCCGCCGTGCAGTACAATGCAGAACGAGAGCGGGTGGGGCTGGCTCAGCTGCCGTAGAGAGGGTGCGAGTCGCGCTTTAGCCACACAACTGCCCGCCGAGACGCGGACAAAGCAGTCGCGTGCGGGCGGGCGATCGAGTCACACGGACGACCGCTCAGATGCGACACCCGGATTAAGTTGACAACCCCCGCCGTGTGTGCGTTGCTCCCCGCACGCCTCGTGCTCCGTTCTCTTTTCCTCGCAATTTAAACTCACAAGCGAGCCGCCTACACGTTGAGCCGCTGCCTCAGCAGCCTCGCGATCTCCCTCACCACGTCCGGGTGAGCGACGCACTCCAACAGCGTGTCCGTATCCACGGCAACGTCCTCGCCGGCACCCTCGGCAACGACCCCCTGGCTCTCGCGCGCCGCGGGTTCCTCCTCGTCGGAGGTCGGGGAGTCGGAACCGGGATCCGACGGGACGAGGAAAGCGCCGCACGGCATGCTGGGAGCGCCGCCCCCCTCGTGATCTTCCGACGGAGATTCGCCCCCCGTAGTCTGGCTGCGGCGATCGCCGTGGCAGCTGCAGCTGCAGCAGCTGCCGAGCGCCGACTCGTCGGCCTTGCGCTTCTTCGCTGGGCGGGAGCCGCCCTGGTGCTGGTGGAAGGCTTCCGACCGCGAGGAGCCGGGCAGAGCTCGGAGAGCCGCGTTGAGGTAGCGGAGGTTCGTCTCGTAGCTGACGTCGTCATCCTAGAAGGATGGGCGGGGGAGGGGGGAGAAGTTTTTTGCGGGTTAGTAATTCAACTTTAATCTCTTATTCGACCCCGTGTCACATGACTCCCACGCAATGAGACCTATAAATTATTTTGTCTTTCCCCCCCTGCGCCCTCCCGCCCCCCCACCACCGATTTTATTCCGACTCTACGATCGGGGCGTGGAGTCCGCGCCGCGCTGCGAGATTTCTCAGGACGCTGGTGTCACGGGAGAACGGCCCGCTGAAGCGGGCGCCAGAGAGCCGCATCCTAAATCCCTTCTTGAAGCGACCTCTTGATCCACGCAGCAGCAGTACGACACTTAAACCGTTTACTTCTTCTCTAATTCTCAGGGTTATGGGTAAAGGGGTTAAAGGTCATGGTTCAGGTCAGGGGAATGACCTCGGAGGGGTTGAGCCAGCGAGCGGGGTTGATCTACTTTAGGGTTATAGTTAATGAGGTTAAGGTCATGGTTCAGGTCAGGGGTTAGGGTCAGGGGTCAGGGGCAGGGTCATGACCTCGGAGGGGTTGAGCCAGCGAGCGTGGTTATCTACTTTAGGGTTATAGTTAATGAGGTTAGGTCATGGCTCAGGTCAGGGGTCAGGGGTCAGGGGTCAGGGTCGTAACCTCGGAGGGTTGAGCCAGCGGGCGTGGTTATCTACTTTAGGGTTATAGTTAATGAGGTTAAGGTCATGGCTCAGGTCAGGGGTTAGGGGTCAGGGGTCAGGGTCGTGACCTCGGAGGGGTTGAGCCAGCGGGCGTGGTTATCTACTTTAGGGTTATAGTTAATGAGGTTAAGGTCATGGCTCAGGTCAGGGGTTAGGGGTCAGGGGTCAGGGTCGTGACCTCGGAGGGGTTGAGCCAGCGGGCCAGGTTGTCGGGGTGAGGCTGGGTCTTGACGGCGCAGACGACGATCCGCGCCAGGGCCTCCTGCAGGCGAGCCTCGTGGTCCGACTCCTACGGACACATCAGCCATCAGCGACAAACAGTCAACAACAATGACAATGTACGGCAATCAGAGGTCGCAAACGGGTTTTGATTCCTTACCCTACCCCGTACCCGCCGCACCAGGGTCGCAAACGGGTACCCGTACCCTACCGGATACCCGGCTACCCGTACCCTACCCGTACCCGCCGGGTATCGGAAGGGTACGGGTATCGGGTACCCGATTGCGACTTCTGGAATGAAGCCATGTTGCAGGCGCGGGTGGGTTGATTCTAGGAACTTGAATTGTGAGAAGAGACAAGACGTTGGGAAATGAGTGACAAAAACGGTTACTCACCAGTGACTCACGGCCTACCCGTACCCGGCCGCACCAGGGTCGCAAACGGGTACCCGTACCCAGCCGGCCGGGTACGGGTAGTCGGGTAGGGTACGGGTATCGGGTACCCGGTTGCGACCTCTGGCGATAATGAAAACAACAGAAAGGACAATGACTACACAACAATACATATAAAGAACAATGCACTATTTATGTACGTTGGACTTATTTCGCGCCGTGTGTAGCGAACCGTGCAATGACAGTTCACAACAATCATAAAGAAGATTAACAATACACAATGACAATAAGGTGCCGTCCATAAATGACGTCACGCGATTTTGGACAAATTTTGACCCCCCCCCACTTCGTCACACGGCATCACAAAAAGTCAGACCCCCCCCATAAAATATGACGTCATAAAGCTCTGCCCCCCCCCCCCCAAAAAAATATAAAACATGCTTCAAATCGCTTTAAACTATTGTCATTGTAGTGCATATATAATGTGGCGCTGCACTCTGATGTTGTAGGAGAAAACATTTATTAAAATCTATTTAATTAAGTAGAACGTGTTGTCTATATTATTTAAAGTTGCGCATTTTGATGTGACATCACATTTCTCAAACCCTCCCCCCCTCGTTACACATCGTCACAAATGTCTGACCCCCCCCCCCCCCCCAGATGCGTGACGTCATTTATGGACGGCCCCGAAATAACAATGACTACAAAATCACAACAAAGAACA